CCAATGGGTTTCACGTAATAAAATATCTAAAAGTAACTACCTCTTGAAAATTACTAAAAAATGCATCTGTAATATTACAAACCCCTGGCATGGCCTCTCAGCTTCAACTTTCCGACCACCGTAACGTACATTCCCTGAGCTTTTTCTATAACAATTTTTAAGGCAATTGCTCTGGTGAGCTTTCTTTTTGTTTATGATATCGATTACTATTAATGAAGCATGATTTATACATCCAAGATATATACATATACAGTTTAACCCGGATATAAGAGACCCGGGTATGAGAGAAACCCGGATATAAGAGTGATTTTCTCTGGTCCCAAATTAGAGCCTGTGTTAATGTATGTAAAATAGATCAAACCCGGATATAAGAGAAACCCGGATATAAGAGAGATTTTATCTGGGCCCAAATTAGAGTCTGTGTTAATGTAAATAATATAGACAAAACCCGGATATAAGAGAAACCCGGATATAAGAGACTTCTTTTCCGGTCCCGACAACTCTCTTATATCCGGGTTACTATATATATATATATATATATATATATATATATATAAATTATTATTATTCCGTATTCGTTATGCTTCTATTTTTTATTGGCCGAATACACTAAATATCTTGTTGTTGTTGTTGTTGTTTATTTGTTGTTGTTGTTCTTCTTCTTCTTCTTCTTCTTCTTTTCTTCTTCTCTTCTTATTATTATTATTATTATTATTATTTGTGTTTTTAAAATTCCTTGATCAGCTAACGATACCAAAGTTTTGTAAGAAGCATATATGGACTGACATATCTCTATTCTCTCTCTCTCACACACACACACACACACACATATATATATATATATAAATATATATATATATATATATAAACTAGATTAAACAATGCATACACAGGCATGATTAGGGTGTTGTTTAAATTTTAAATGCCTTGTTACTTATTTCGATATACATACTGAAATCAGTGAGGTTTTGTATTTTTTTAACTTTTTTCCCTCCTACTTAACCATCCTTTCCCAGCAGTAGACCAAATTTATTCTTTCTGCAATACCACAATTGTTGTTGAAATGGAAATGGCGCAAGACAAAATAAGACCCCTCGCCCTACATAGCCGACTAAATTATAATGAAATTCTAATTTCTTCTTAAGTCACGATTTCTTCATTTAATTTTCATGCATTCGCGGGCATTCAATTGCGTTTTTCGTTTGCCAACAAAGAAAAATAAAAGGCGGACAAAAATGGTGCAAAAACGATAATGGCGCTAATAGTAAATACAGATGGTACTCGTGAGCAGAAAGAAAGGAGGAAGTCAATGAAAAACAATATGGCGGCGAAAATATAAATGAGAACGTCAAAGAAGGAAAAAACGGTGAAAAAATTTAAAAAAAGATAGAAATACGAACATTGAGATGAAAAGGGAGACAGGGAATAATGTTAAAGGCCTTAAAAGTGAAAATTCCTCCCGCTTAAAAAAAGTAAAAAAAAAAAAAAAAAAAAAAAAATAAATAAAAAATAAGCGATTGTTATTGTATCGAAATATAGAAGAATGATAAGTTCTTGTGAAGAATGAAGAATGCAAACTAAAGAAAAAAAAGTATATCTCTTACCGCAAATACTATTTCTTGAACTATCTTCATTTGAAATCTTTTTTCATTTCATTTTTTAAATTGATTTAGTTTACTAAGTATATAATTTCTAATGTTTTTTTAATAATAATGATGATGATGATGATGATAATAATAATAATTTTAGCGTTCATACTGTTTGAGTAATGTAAGCAATTCGACCAGAAATAATTTTGCAAAACCATGTTGAAAACACCTGCATTATGATAGATGTAGCAGCCCCAGCCGACAAAAACATATCTTTGAAAACGTTTTCGAAACAAGCAAATAAAATGATCTCGAGATAGAAATCAATCTAATGCAACACCTGAAGACAATGACATTACCTGTTGTTATTGTGACTCTTGAAATTATATCAAAACTAGCAAAAAAATATGTGGATCAAATTCCTAGCTGTGCTAAAAATATTGAATTTGCAAAAAGTCGTACTCATGAGTACATCTCACATTGTGTGTAGACTTCTTTCCATGCAATTACTACAATTGCATTGTTTTGTTTTTCTTTTAATATATGGAATCACATATGTTTGGATCTTCTAATAAAAAAAAAACAACTTATTTTCTTTTGAAGTCTATAATTTAGATTTAGGGTCAACTCGTATTAAACAAAGCCAAGCCAAATAATAATAATAATGCAGTGAATAAGAATAATAATGATGATGATGATAATAATAATAATAATAATAATAATAATAATAAATTATAGGCCAATAACATGTCTGCCCACCACATATAAATTGAACACGCCTGAACTGTACTTATTATTTTTTCCATGAAAACAACTTTCTTTACATGGAAGAGAAGGGGTGTCGAAGAGGTTCATATTGTTGCAAGATCAACACAGTTATGTGCCATGCATGATACACGCTTAGGCGATCATGTATCTTTTGATACATGGCTGACGAGGCAGATTTTTCCTGCAGTACGTTATCATTTCTTTCTGCGGTAGACCAGTTGCCATCCAAATCTATAGAACCCGGTCTGTCCTGCGATTTACCTATAGCTGGGAGGAGAAAAAGAGGATTCATACTTTCTCCAAGGGTATTAGCACGTAAGTGACTGTAATCGATTCGATCCGAGCTGTTATCCATTACTCCACCGTGCATTCTAAGATCTGGAAAATTTCAGGAAAAAAGTTAAAAATATCAGCACAGCTTGGATAGATTAACGTAAAGGCTTTGATAGTGTGCCAGACTCTTGGATACTTAAGGCTTTGGAAATGTTACGAGGTAGCCTCCATGATAGCAAATTTCTTTAAATATAGCATGAAACCGTAGAAAACCACATTATACCTAAATCACACCAAAGGTACTGCCGCTTCCAAACGTTTGAATATCCGACAAGGAATCTTTCAAGGAGATTCCCTGCCACCCCTTCTGTTCTGTCTGTTCACATTCCTCCTTTTGCATGAACTAAACAGTAATGGCTATGGATACAAAGCAAAAAAGAAAGTGTTTAAAAACCTTTTCTACATGGATGCTATCAAGCTCTTTGCCAAAGAGGACAATAAGTTGCGGGCTATCCTCAGTACTATAAACTGTTTCAGTGACTACATAGGTATTGAGTTCGGATTAAATAAATTTCCAAAAGCAACATTCAAGAAAGGGAGAATTATAGAAACACACTCAATAAATCTAGATGTTGTCACAAAGATCAGGGAACTGGAACAAGAAGTCTGTAAATACCTAGGAGTCAACGAAGGAGGTGGAATTCAGTATACCCAAATGAAATAGAAAGTAAGAAAAAGTGTGTGCGTCCGGGGTTAAATAACGAGCTGAATCCACAAAAACGAATATCAGCCATAATCACTTTGGCTTCCCCTGTGGTTAAATAGAATTCAACATCCTTAAAAGGATCAGAGCTTAAATTATGTAAATAGATGTTAAAACGAGAAAGTTTCTCGCTTGTCACCGCATGCATCACCCTAAGGCTGATGCTGATCGTTTGTATGTGTCCAGATCCGAAGGAGGCAGAGGATTAGTTCAACTAGAACTGTAAAACCCACAAAAATCCGTCATTAAAGAAACTAGAAACTATAGAAGACTGGATGATGTTCCGTATCAAAGAACACGAAAGAAATAAGAAACTATATTCAGTAATAAAGAAAGCCAACAAATTCAAAATGGAATTTCTAGTGGTTGGAGAAGTGCAGATAAACCATAATACACCTCTTGAAGCGGCAAAGAACCGAAGATGGAAAGCAAATCAATGTACCAAATGCAGAAACGGTGACAAGATAAGCCTATTCATGATTAATGCTTTGCTCATACCAAACAAGCTGATGTAGACAAACCCCGTACCTATCAGTATACAATACACACAGGTAGAATAATCAAAGCTAATCACCCAGACAACGCAATCAGAGAACACAAAACAGGATATGCCTTCTTATTGACATGACAGTCCCTGTAGACTGTAATGTATCTTCGAAGATCTTCAAAGATATTCAAAATACAAGGACCTCAAAAGTGTAGCAGGGGAAGTCATCAACAATTCCAATCGAAGTTGGAGCCCTTGGTTTGATTGGAAAAGGTTCTGATAGACTCATTGAAGGGTTCCCTGGTAACCCAAGAATTACAAAAAAATTATACACCCAAGTACAGCTCAAACTTTTCGAAGGGCTTTAGCTATTTAAAATGATCATCGTTTTTTTTCTTTTAATTTTTTTTTAATTTTCAGGGGAAATGCCATGATGCTATTTTTGACCTTAGGTCTCTGGTTGGGACCCGGAAAGAAATGAGTTTACACCAGAAAGTAAATAATAATAATAATAATAATAATTGCTGAGACGTAGACATACCTGGGTTGGTATCTAGGCGTGCTGTAAACCTGTTTGGAGTAAGCGACCTCTAGACTTCGGTAAGACGTCTCTAATAGGATATAGCCGTTCTGAGTCTTAGATGACGAGTCAACTTGTTCTAGAATCACGATAAACCTTAAACAGTGAGGAAGTTCCTGGAAAAAAACACTACAGAGGGAAAACGTTCCTTCAACAAACTTGCCTTCATTATGAAGGAACAAATTACAGACCTAACGGATCAGTGACGACTTTTACTCCATACATAGGACTATGCAAGTATCCAAGCCCCCAATTCCCGTTACAAATACAATAATAATTATAATGATATAATAATACTACTACTATGACTAGTACTACTACTAATTTTTATCGCAAAAGTAACAGTTGTACATCATTGACTTATGTTGATGGCGGTCTTGTGTCGTGCACAAGGAAATAAAATAACAATAGTCAAAACAACATCGGCCTCAAACCCTAGCCGTGCTCGGTGATTACATAAGATTTAGCATCGAGAATGAAATCACGTGATCAAACATTCTGGACATGGCTGCCAGCAATGGCGGCAGACGAAAATCAATCCTAAATTACAGGTTTACTTTGCAAGCAAAGACAACTTATAATCATTGGCAGGCGGCCGGGAGCAGCAATTGTTAAGTGGATGGCAGCTACGATTGAAATGCGATCCAGCTGAGGATGGAAGGGGAGTTTTAACATGTCTTTTTCTTTTTCAAATGTAGGAAGTAAAGAATCAAGAACGAATGAAAAGAAACGGAAGGAATATTGGAAAGAATTTAACGCATGGAAATAAACACCTCTCAAAAAAAAAAAAAAGAAAAAAAAAAAGGAAACGAAAAGCAATCAAAATAGAACGATGAGAAAAACTTTAGGAATTTTAAAAAGAAAAAAAAGAAAGACGACCTTAAGAGAATTAAGAAAAGGATGGAAGGAAAATCAAGGGAAGATGGGAGAGGTATAAAAAAGAAAGAAAGGTGGGAAAAAGTAGGAAGAAATAGTAAAGAAAGAATTGCGTATTCAAAATAAAGAAAGTGAGAGAGAGGGTGGAGAAAGAAAGAAAGAAAGAAAGAAAGAAAGAAAGAAAGAAAGAAAATGTGAAATGTGAAACGAGAAGAGGAATGAAAAAAAGAAAGTGAAAGGAAGAAGGATAAAAAAAAAATGAATAAAACCAAAAGAAAAAGTAAAAGAAAAACAAGGCGGGAAAAAAAGAAAGAATGAATGAAGAAAGTAAAAGAAAGAAATGGGGGGGGGAGAAAAAAAAACATTGGATTCATTAGAGAAAGAAATCGAAAGCAAAAAAGATAAATTAAACAATAATAGATCTGGATAAAGAGAGCTGGAAAAAAATCAAGAGAAAAGAAAAAGAAAGCAGAATCAGAGAGTCTGTCTGTATTTCTGAGATGAGGTATTATGAAAACATTATTTACATTAAAAGAACTATTGTCCTCATCTTCGTCGCCATATTTATTACAATATTTCGGCCCTTCAGTATCTGTCTATATTTCTGAGATTTTATTATTACATATTTCATTATGAAACTATTGTCCTCATCTTTAAGATCACAACGAGCCCTTAAAGTATCTGTCTATATTTCTGAGATGAGGTATTATGTACATGAATATTTACATTATTCACAAAATTGTCCTCATCTTCGTCGCCATATTTATCACAACGTTTCGGCCCTTCAGTATCTGTCTATATTTCTGAGATGAGGTATTATGTACATTATTTACATTATTCACACTATTGTCCTCATCTTCGTCGCCATATTTATCACAACGTTTCGGCCGTTGTACGCTCCGGCCTTCTTCGGGTGGTTGGAATTTCGAACTGAAACCTTTATTTCGCTCACTGGGATAGACTGTTCTAGTTCCTCGTGCCATGTTCGAAGGATGTCAGTTATCAGTTATCTCCTGCTAAATTTTCCTCTGAAAGTTTTCCAAAGACAGGGTTCTGTCACTGGATTTGACAATTTAACGCCTTTATCCACTATGCCAAAATTGAGGATATTTAAATGGAACTAGAAACATATTCTACCCCAGTGAGCGAAAAAAGATTTTCAGTTCGAAATTATCTATTTTTGAAGAAGGCCGGAGCGTACAACGGCCGAAACGTTGTGATAAATATGGCAACAAAGAGGAGGACAATAGTCTGAATAATGTAAATAATGAAGAATCATAGAATAAGACAGACGTAAAAGGCAAAGAAAGAAAGAAAGAAAGAGGAGGTAAGAAATTAGAAATAAACACGGAAAATGAGATGCAAAAGAAGGAAAAAGAAGCCATAATAAATTAAAAGAAAATCATTACAAGAAAAAATCGAAAAAATCGACGAAGTTGAGAAGGATGGAAGTTGAAAAATAATAAGAAAAAAACTGGAAGAAATTTGGCAGATGTATGGTGGTAGCAAAAAGAGTGCAAGGAGGAAGGAATGAAGGAAAGAAAGAAAGGATTCAATAAGGTAAGAAAAAAAAAGAAAAGAAGGAAAATGTTATGAAGAAACAGAGAAAGGAGATAATAAATCTGCATGATTTGATATGGAAGAGAAGAATAGGAGCCAATTAAAAACTGTAGCGGACAAGAAAGTAGAATGGAAATCGGAAAAGCAAGTGAGATGGAAATGAAGGAAGTAAGGCCAAAATGAAGGAAAAAGGGAAATAAAAAAAAAGGCAAGGAAGATAGAAAATGAAGGATTTCAGGCGGAAAGGAAACAGAAAAAAACCGAAAAGGAAAGGAAGATTCAAATGAAGAATGTAAGGCAAATAGGAAGAAAATGGAAAAATCGATAATGCAAGTAAGACAGAAATGAAGGTTACAAGGAGAATAGGAAGTAAAAAAAAATCAAATAGGCAAGGAAAATTCAAATTAAGAATGTAAGGAGAATAAGAAGAACATGAAAAAATCGATAATGCAAGGAAGATAGAAATGGTTACAAGGAGAATAAGAAGTAAGAAAAATCGAAAAAGCAAGGAAGATTCAAATGAAGAATATAAGGCGAATAGGATGAAAATGGAAAATCGATAATGCAAGGAAGATAGAAATGAAGGTTACAAGACGAGTAGGAAGTTTAAAAATTGAAAAGGCAAGGAAGATTCAAATGAAGAATGTAAGGCGAATAGGAAGGGAAAGGAGAAATCGATAATGAGAGGAACATATAAACGAAGAAATGGAAATCAATAATAATATTCAAATGAAGGTTGTAAGGCAAAAATTATGAAAAAGGGGAATAAAAGAGGTATAAAAATGAAGTATCTAAGGCGAATAGGAAAGAAAAGGAGAAATCAATAATGAGAAGAAAATATAAATGCTGGATGTAAGGCGAATAGGAACAAAAAAGGGCAATCGAAAAGGCAAGGAATATATAAATGAAAGATATAAGGCGAAAAGTAAGGAAAAAGAAGAATAAAGTAAGGAATACAGAAATGAAGCATGTCAGAAGAATTGGAAGAAAAAGGGAAATTGAAAAGGCAAAGAATATATAAATAAAGGATGTAAGGCGAAAAAGAAAAGGCGAGGAATAAAAAGGTAAAGGATATAGAAGTGAAGAATGTAAGTCGAATAAGAAGGGAAAGAAGACATCGATAAAGAGAGGAAGATGGAAATGAAGCATGTAAGGCGAATAGGAAGGAAACTTAATATTGAAAAGGCAATGAGGTAGAAATGAAGGATGTAAAGCAAAAAGGATAGAAAGAAATCAAAAATGTAAAAACGGGAAGAAACGAGAGGAAGAAAATCGAAATCCGATACAGAGAAAGGAATCTATGAATTAAGAAGGAAGGAAAGAAGAAAAGAATTTAAAAAATGTAAGCAAAATAAGAAAAGAAAAAAAGAAAAATGGAATTGGAAAAAAGAAAACCAGGAGGAATGAATGCGGAAAAAGAATAGACGAAATTCCAAAAAAAAAAAAAGTCAAAAAGAAGAACACAAAATAGAAAATTAGCACTTATCGGGGGAAAAAAAAAACAATTTAAAAAAAAAGAACAATGAAAATAGCTGAAAAATATAAGGAAGAATGAATAAGATTATATTTCAGTAGAAGTTTGTAAAAGAAAGATGAAGGTAAGAAAAGAGAAAAATAAATAGGCTTACCATTGTATAAAATGAAACATCAATTTGTAGAACAATAAAAGCTTAAAAAAGATCATTTAAAAATAATTTGTGTTCACACATTCAACCATCTATATACATGTAAAAGAGAAGTAAAGGAAATATTAATATCTATATCTATCTATCTATCTATCTATCTATCTATCTATCTATCTATTGAGTATATCTGTTTATAGGTTATTTTAAAAGATACACATGTAAATTTATTTACGTAAATGCTGTGTTTTTTTAAATAAAAAGTATTAATTACATTTATCGGTCTGAATGTTCGAGAAATTTCTCCGATTTGTAACACTAAAGGGAATTACTATTTGATCTGATGTGCTGCTAACTATTCAGCCACGAAGAACAGTTATATATTTTGAAAAAGTAAAATTCTTTGGGGCTGAATGGTTAACAGAACATCAAAACAAATGATTGTTCATTTATAGTTTAAGGTTCGATCTAATGCGCATTTTGAAAACATATTTTTAAAAGAAAAACCATTTTTTTGAATAATTTCTAAATTAAATAAATTAATACTTTTTATTTAAAAAGAAAGGATTTATTAAGTTAAAATTACTTATCTATTAAAATAACGTATAAAAATAATATATATTAAATAAGAAACACAAACTGGAATATAATATATATATATTATATATATATATATATATATATATATATATATATATATATATATATTATGTATATTTATATAGCAATTTTCAAAATGCATGTTTCATTAAATAATATAGATAAGTCTTGTCTATTTATTACTAAAAAGTTCCTTTCATATTGCCTGAAATGCTTAAGTAAACATCATTCGTTGAAAGACGAAAAAAATCACCATATTGATACATGTTTAAATCCAATCTAAGCTTTCGGTTTAATAAGCCATTATCAAAGATGACAATTTACAATATCAATACAACAGCAAGACGAAACAACAATGAAACAATAAAATTTCAAAGCAACGATAAATCGTGTATACGAGATAAATCAAACGAAAATCGCGTCGCAGCTCGTGCGGCATAACACATGACCACGCGAGAGTGAAAACGAGAAGTATTAAATATGGGAAGCTGCTGGTATAAACTAATGGCTTCCGTTTTCAATTATAGGCATTTAAGAATATATGTGGAGATTTCAGTTTTTGTTCAGGTTAGGTTTCAACTGTTTTATATATATAGCTTCAAGTATTTTTAGTTTTTGTTTATTGTTTTCATGTTTAAGTATAGTGCTGTTTTCCACAAGGTTTTTACGGAATTGTGTACGCGGACAGGCATGTTGTTTTAAATGCTTTCCCATACTTAATACTTCTCGTTTTCACTCTCGCGTGGTCATGTGTGACGTCACGAGCTGCGACGCGACTTTCGCTTCCGCGTCTCGTAACACGAGTTAGTCGTTGCTTTGAAATTTTTTCATGCAACAAAAACAGATTATCATTATTGCTTCTTAGGTGCATTGTTTGATATATTAAAAAGTAATTGTCATCTTTGATAATGGCTTATGTAAGCCGAAAGCTTAGAATGGATTTAAACATGTATCAATATGGTGATTTCCTTTCGTCTTTCCATGACAATCTTATTAAGCTTATCAGACAATATGAAAGGAATTTACTTAAAATAAATAGACAAAACTTGTCTATATTATTTAATGAAATATATATCAATATATATATATATATATATATATATATATATATATATATATAGAACGTTAGTGTACAATAGAGACATTTACACATACACATCCTATGGTAAGCTGGGACATTCGCCATGGATACAAACACAGACGACGTTTGTAAGATACCGTTGGTTTTAGTAAATTTTATCATTTTTTTTGGTATGATGTTCACCCAGGACATTTAAGTGTGATCATGGCTCCCCACTATTTGGATGCGCACTGCTGATGAGTCCAAAACAATAGGAAATAAACTTTAAGTCTGTCTCATCAAAATATAAATGAAAGGTTTCTATCAGACTCGATGATCAGAACAAAGGATATATATATATATGTATACCTGTAGGGAAATTATGAACAACGTGTCTGAAGTTTTTTTTTTTTATTTAAAATATTTAAACGTAACGAAACTATTATGCTTTCAGTGATTTCAAGAAATTAATGTCCAGAATGATAACACGATTTTTTTTATTAAAACAATGACGTTTAATTCGAATATGGATATGAAAAAAAAAAATCTTTTGACAGTTTTATTTTAAACCAAAGGTTCAAATACAACATTTAATTTGAAAATTAAAAACAAAAAAAATGGAGAGATATTTGAATGGAACCCTGAATTTTTTTTGGCTGTAAAAAATTGCGAAACTGGCAAGTTTTCAGCCAAGCCTTCATAAAATAATCAAACTGTAATCGAAATTTCATTCTGTTCTTAGTGGGAAGCCATTAACATTTTAAAAATCTGTTACCGGACTTTTTATGTTCATTTCTAGGCCTAACCTTCTATTGTGATGTCGTATAAACCATTTTAAATCACCAAAGACTAAATTTTTAAATATGAAAATCTTCTACATTTATCTGATGAGATAAACGTTTTTTTGAAGTTCCCAATTATTTACGGATTACAAAGTTTAATTGAAACACGTAAATATTTAACTAGAATCCATATTATAATTTAATATAATTTTTAATTATTATTTAAAATATTTCAATTTATCATATATATTATGACTAAATTATATTTATTTGACGAATATTATGTATTGAAAACTAATTTTTCTTTCAAACTTTTATACAATTAACTTTTTGTTCTTTATGTAGTAATTTGATTTTTTACAACTAATCTGAATATCTTTTGTCTTTTATTAATTTCAAATTAGTTTTTGCTCAATTAAAGATATATTTGTCATTTTTGCGTTCCATAAAATATCATTCTATCTATCTATCTATCAAGAAAATAAATCTATAAAAAGTATCTCGTTCATCTCTATATATATATATATATATATATATATATATATGTGTGTGTGTGTGTGTGTTGTGCCTGTGTGTGTAAAAGTGGAAAATTCAAAACAAACCAAAATAATTTTAAAAAAAAAAAAAACTATTATTTAAAAAAAAAAAGTTCGGTACAAAACAATAATATTTAAAAAAAACTATGGAAATGTATGTTTTAACATCACAAAAATCGAACATTGAGGTTTCAACCCTATTAGAAAATACAAAAAAAAATTTTTAAATAAAACAATATAAAATATATATATATATATATTTATATATATATATATATATATATATATATATATTTATTCTACATTTTTTAAAAAAATACATTTTTTTAAGACATCAGAATTTTGAAACAAAATGGCTATTTTAGTATTGATGATACAACATACTTACGTTATAATTTTTAAATAAATATATATATATATATACATATATAAATAAATATATATTTAAAAAACAAATATTTATATATA